GGATATCCTCGGGATAAACTGTTTTTCTTAGGGTTTTCTCTCGACTATTCTCTTTCTTTGCTTTATTGCTCTCGAATAAACACAACTCTCCTGAGAAAAGTCTCAAAATCCCTTAAATACTCGCAAAACCCTAGGTAACCTGGACTTATCCGACGTTTTCCCGGTTCCAGTAAGTTTTATCCAGGTCCGATTCGATTCTCTCGGCTATTCCCTGTACCGGCTCGACCATTCCTTCGATAAACCCCAAAATAGCCGACCAAACACTTGGCCCACGGCCCAAATCCCTTCCCACTCGGATAAACCGCCCTTATCCGAGGTGTTTTCCATTTTTCACCTGGATATTCCTTTTCCTCTCGGACAACTTGTCCCACCTCGGCTAATCCTCTATTTCTCTCGGAGGTTTCCTATTCTCCCTCGGAGACAGTCCACTGACACTCGGACTAACCTCCCAGACTCTCGGATATATCCCACTGCACTCGGATAAATCCCATTTCCCTCGGACTAGACCCTGTTTTCTCTCGGATATGGTCCATCCGGCTCGGCTATCCAGCCCACATCCGACTATTTCACCGGTCAACACCCGACCATAGTCCGAACCTCCATTTCCCAGCCAGTATCCGATCCTTGGCTCGGTCATCCCTCGGACAATGCCCTGTCCGGTACGATCATTCCACATTTTCTCGGATACGAATGCTACAAAGACTATCATAAATTGTTACTCAGTTTTCCTAAACAGAGTATTTATTTTATTTTATTAGTGGTTATGCCTTGTGAGTTTGCTATTGTTACATACTATTCAGTAAAAAATTTCCAAAATATTCTATACAATAAAAAAATATTTAAAGATATTTCTTCGATAGACACATAGTTTATAACAGTACCATTGATTCTACAGAAGAAATTCTATAAATTAATATTTGATAAATTAATAAACTCGATAAATCAATAATTTTGCTTGGTCCCGATTTAGGCCAGTTCAAAATTTAATACAAATCGATAAATTAATAAGATAATAATAATTTTAAGAACCCATATAAGATATAGTATCATAAATTAATAAATATCACATAAGATAATTTATATAAATTTATAATTATGATAATTTATTAAAATATAAGTATATTATTGTTTTTCACATTAAAATTGAAAATTTTATCATCTATTTCTAATTTTATAATGAAAAATTTGAAATTTTTTTTATAAATTTTAAAGAACATATTATTTTTAATTAGTTATACATAAACAATTTATTTTATCCAACACCGATAAATTAATAACTCTCTAAATTAATAAAATATCAAAATCCCAACATTATTAATTTATAGAGTTTCTACTATAGAGTTTCTACTATAGAATACTTCTTAAAATTTTAGGAAATCTTTTTGAATATTCAAAACTGATTTTTTTATTTCACAATGATTCATACATACTTAGAATAAAATAATTAACATATGGTTTAGGAAGCTCTTCCAAAATATCTAAGAAAGCTTGACAATTAAGGAATACCTTCAAAAAAACCAATTTACTCCGGTAGATACATATGATATAATAACAACATTGATCCTAAGATGGTTTGAGATTCATCTAAGAGGGTTCAACATTAAATATGATAGTGAATCAATAAGAAACATTTTATCTTTGTTGAAAAGAAAATTTTAGGAGTAGACATCTAAATTTTTGGAATTTCACAGATTATTTTCCTTAGGAAGATTGATTTTGTCAACGAGAGAGTTCAGACTTCCAAGGTAGAAGAAACTTGATTCAGAACATCAGTATTGAACTGTTAACTTATCGACTATGAACTATTCCAGAGTAAATGTTTGTAACTTTGGATAAATTGTTTATTTAAAGCAGATTATGATTTAATTATAAGGTTTGAATGCAAGTAAATCCATACAATTAATTCAGGTTCACTTCAATATTTAAACATTTTTTATATGGTATATTACAATATGTGCCATTACATTTTAAGCTTCTCTCTAAATTTTTATTAAAGGTATTTTAGTCAAAGATATTTAGACTTTAAATGAATTATTTAATTATTCTAACTACTATATATATACAAAAAATCTATTAGATTAACTAAAATATACTTATTGACAGTAGTCAACACGAAATAAAGTAAATGGAGGCGGCTAGGGCACCCGACGACTCTTTTGGCGATTCCCAGATCCATTTTCCCTAGGGCTATTCCAAAGCTCGGATCCCTCTCACCGTCGTCTTGTCCAACTTAAGGTGTCCTAAAACAACAGGTAAGATTATCGATATTCTGACTACTGTGGGAATAACAACGCAGAAGGTTTTGAAAGGTTGCTTAGGCTGTAGCATGGATGTTACGTATCATACAGCACTTGTTTGTTGTCGTCTTGTTCGTACCGGAAATCGCAGATCAGATCCTAGACAGTTTCCCTATGCAAGGGGGTTTTCTCGAGATGCTTTGCTTTCCCCTGATATAGGGTGTTTTGTTCCGGTTTATCTGGTGTCTGGAATTCTCTTGGAAGGTTTTTGGAGGCGTTGCTACCCACATCCACATATGGCTTCTGCAGCTGAAACTCTAAGGAGGAATGGGACGTCCACGAAAACCAAATGACGGCTCGTACAAGAAGAAGAAGATGAAATCATTGAGATCCCGGAATTTGACTTCTCCGATTTGGTAGAACAATACAAATGCAGTTTGGTGGGCCGTATGTTCAGAAGGTAGAAGTATCGACGCCCTCCTGAAACTAATACCTAGTGCAAAAATCTGGAACGTTGAGGGCAGATTTAAAGGAACTAACTTGGAAAATGGGAAGTTTCAGTTTGATTTCGACAAAGAGGAAGACTTGATTAAAGTGTTGCATCAAAGACCCTGTCATTTCAACCGCTGGAGCTTCTCTCTCAAGCGATGGATCCCAACCATCAACAATGACTTTCCAAATACAATGAGATTTTGAATCAAGGTATAAGGCCTTCCAATTCACTATAAGAAAGACCCGGTGTTTCGATCGATCGGAACTGCGCTGGGAGATGTGATTACAGTCGATGAAAAAGGAGCAAGAGTCCAAGTCTCCATCAATTTAAAAATGACGATATCATTAAAGTTACCTTGAAATATGAGGATTTACACCGATGGTGCTACACCTGTCGGAAAATCTCACATGAGGAAGGAATGTGTCCCGAACTAACAGAGGAACAGCGTGAGCTCAATAGGAAAGCCAGGATTGAACAAAAAGAGAAAGAAGAACTCATAGCTCGAGAGATGTTTCCCCTACGACCAGGATCCGATGGTGGTCGGAGACTTCCCCTGTTCTCGGGTAACTCATATAAGGATAACTCAACTCAGGCCCTCGAGAAGAAACATAGCGAAAGCAGAGTCGTCCATGGCGAAAAGAAGGACCTGCGAGAAGAGCTTCAAGAGAAACGTGAGGATCACAGCAGAGACGTATGGAAAAAGATTGATCCCCAGCTTAACGTCCAACTTCCCCGAAATCGGGAGAGATATCACCCATATTCAAAGAGTTACAAGGAGCAGAGCTTCCACTATAATTCTTCATCAAAGGCCAGACTTGAGTGGAGACCCCGTAGGGAAGGTGAAAGAGATAGAGATGATAAAAGGATCCTCTTACTATAGAGAAGTATCTGACTCCACGCATGGCTTACGCCGCCGAGGAGAACATACCCCCCTTTCTGATTCTCAGAGAACAATCTCTGATATGCCAGAACAACAGAGCCATTGTGACCATGTAAGCTCTTGACATCTGGTGTTACACAGGAATGAAACAGAGGAGGAGAAAATCCGAAGGATAAAGGGCAAAACACCTGCGGCGGAAACCATGTCTTCTACAAAGGGTAGAGAGATCCCACTAGCATCACCAGAAACGTCCCCAACAATGAAGGATAACACCCCCCCCCAGAACGACCTGACGCTGTTACGATCTCAAAAACTCGGATCCCTCTCACCGTCGTCTTGTCCAACTTAAGGTACCCTAAAACAACAGGTAAGATTATCGATATTCTGACTATTGGGGGAATAACAACGCAGAAGGTTTTGAAAGGTCGCTTAGGCTGTAGCATGGGTGTTATGTATCATACTGCACTTGTTTGTTGTCGTCTTGTTCGTACCGGAAATTGCAGATCAGATCCTAGACAGTTTCCCTATGCAAGGGTGTTTTCTTGAAATGCTTTGCTTTCCCCTGATATAAGGTGTTTTGTTCCGGTTTATCTGGTGTCTGGAATTCTCTTGGAAGGTTTTTGGAGGCGTTGCTACCCACATCCACATATGGCTTCTGCAGCTGAAACTCTAAGGAGGAATGGGACGTCCACGAAAACCAAATGACGGCTCGTACAAGAAGAAGAAGATGAAATCATTGAGATCCCGGAATTTGACTTCTCCGATTTGGTAGAACAATACAAATGCAGTTTGGTGGGCCGTATGTTCAGAAGGTAGAAGTATCGACGCCCTCTTGAAACTAATACCTAGTGCAAAAATCTGGAACGTTGAGGGCAGATTTAAAGAAACTAACTTGGAAAATGGGAAGTTTCAGTTTGATTTCGACAAGGAGGAAGACTTGATTAAAGTGTTGTATCAAAGACCCTGTCATTTCAACCGCTGGAGCTTCTCTCTCGAGCGATGGATCCCAACCATCAACAATGACTTTCCAAATACAATGAGATTTTGAATCAAGGTATAAGGCCTTCCAATTCACTATAAGAAAGACCCGCTGTTTCGATCGATCGGAACTGCGCTGGGAGATGTGATTACAGTCGATGAAAAAGGAGCAAGAGTCCAAGTCTCCATCAATGGTGATAAACCGCTTCAGTTTTAAAGAAGTGCGAGATTTAAAAATGACGATATCATTAAAGTTACCTTGAAATATGAGGATTTACACCGATGGTGCTACACCTGTCGGAAAATCTCACATGAGGAAGGAACGTGTCCCGAACTAACAGAGGAACAGCGTGAGCTCAATAGGAAAGCCAGGATTGAACAAAAAGAGAAAGAAAAACTCATAGCTCGAGAGATGTTTCCCCTACGACCAGGATCCGATGGTGGTCGGAGACTTCCTCTGTTCTCGGGTAACTCATATAAGGATAACTCAACTCAGGCCCTCGAGAAGAAACATAGCAAAAGCAGAGTCATCCATGGCGAAAAGAAGGACCTGCGAGAAGAGCTTCAAGAGAAACGTGAGGATCGCAGCAGAGACGTGTGGAAAAGGATTGATCCCCAGCTTAACGTCCGACTTCCCCGATATCGGGAGAGATATCACCCATATTCAAAGAGTTACAAGGAGCAGAGCTTCCACTATAATTCTTCATCAAAGGCCAGACTTGAGTGGAGACCCCGTAGGGAAGGTGAAAGAGATAGAGATGATAGAAAAGGATCCTCTTACTATAGAGAAGTATCTGACTCCAGGCATGGCTTACGCCGCCGAGGAGAACATACCCCCCTTTCTGATTCTCAGAGAATAATCTCTGATATGCCAGAACAACAGAGCCATCTTGACCATGTAAGCTCTTGACATCTGGTGTTACACAGGAATGAAATAGAGGAGGAGAAAATCCGAAGGATAAAGGGCAAAGCACCTGCGGCGGAAACTATGTCTTCTACAAAGGGTAGAGAGATCCCACTGGCATCACCAGAAACGTCCCCAGCAATGAAGGATAACACACCCCCCCCCCCCCCCCCCCCCCCCAGAACGACTTGACGCTGTTACGATCTCAAAAACCGCAGGCCCTTCCGACTCTAATATTGAGGGAAGACAACATGATGGAAACAGTTTGGGGAAAACAGGGGAAACGCGCGAAGATGAAAAAAATAAGTCCCCAGAAGAAAGAGATGCAGATATGGAATTCGAGCAACGACTAGACAGGGAGTTAGTTGAGATGGAAATGGATGATGAAATGATTGATAACAATGAACTACTCCTGGAAGATCTTGAGGACTATCCCGAGAAGATTGATGCAATTTCGCAACTCTCCCCAGAACTGGAAGATGACGACCGAGGAGCTAGCTGGAGCCATGGCATCGAAAAAACTACATGCCATCCGGGGAAAAGCCTCCCCAAGGAAGAAGAAAAGTAACCTGCGCGTGAGATCGTCAGGTACAAGTACTAAACAATTCCCTCGTATGGAGGTGTACCCCTCGGCTCTATCTAAGAGCTCTGTTGCTGTCTCAGGTTCGGTGGTGTCCCAGAAACCACCCAGTAAGAAGATATGAATACAATTTCCTGGAATTGTCAAGGTGCAAGAGCGTTTCTGACTATACAACACCTAAAGAAGCTACACCGTTACTTTTGCCCCTGTTTTCTTTTTCTTTCTGAGACAAAAAACTCATTTTCTGTTATGCAAAAGTTTCAAACTTCTTTTGGTTATGATAATTTATTTACCGTTAAGCCCGTTGGGCGAAGCAGAGGTTTAGCTTTGTATTATTTGGATTGCTTTTCTGTTTGTATTCTCTTTTCCAACGACCGAATGATCGACATTGAAGCTACAATCGAGGGTCACAAGGTCTTTATGACCTTTGTGTATGGAGATCCGATCATTGAGTGCCGTGGAGCTGTATGGGAGAAGCTAACTAGTTTTAGCGCACAACGCACAGGACCCTGGTTCATGAGTGGAGACTTTAACGAAATTATTGGTAACCACAGGAAATAAGGTGGCAGGAGAAGAGCTGATTCCTCCTTCCTTGCGTTCAAACAGATGTTAGAAAAATGTGGTATGATTGAATTCCCATATAAAGGGAATCACTTCTCGTGGCTGGGATACAGAAGATCCGGAAGAGTCCAATGCCGGTTGGAAATGAAGAATGGCATGAAGTCTTTTCCCACAAAAATGTGGAGTATCTGAAGCTATGGGGTTCGGATCATAGACCGGTGTTATCAAGGATACAATCTCGGGAGATACGCATACAACGCAACTTCCGCTTCGATAAAAGATGGCTGGATAAGGAGGACTTCCATGAAACAGTAGGTGAAAGATGGGATTCACCGACCAGCCCGAGCGCAAATGACCTTTTCTCCAAAATTGGAGCATGTAGGAAGCCCATCTCAAGATGGAGGAAAAATAACCCCACCAATTCGGCCAAGCGGATTGAAATGATTAAAGAACAACTAGAGAAGGCCCAATTGGACGAGAGTATAACCCCGGAGGATGTACTGAATCTGAAATGGATGCTCTGCTCGGCTTACCGTGATGAGGAGCTATACTGGAAACAGAAGAGCCGAGCAAACTGGCTGAAGGAAGGGGATCGCAACACCAAATTCTTCTACGCAAGCACTAGACAACGACGGGCGATAAATCGCATCACCAAGCTGAGATCATCGACAGGCTCATGGGCAGAGACAGAGGAAGGAATTGAACGCGTTGCGATAGAATACTTCTAAGACATTTTCACTTTGTCTAATCTAGTGGATTATGAAGAAGATCTCCGGTATGTTACCGCGAAAGTCACAACTGAGATGAATGCAGCACTCACGTGCACCTCCTCTGATAGCGAAATAAAACAGGCTGCTTTTGATATAAATCCAGAAAAGGCACTGGGGCCGGATGGAATGACAGGACTATTCTATCAACGTTGCTGGCAAACGCTGGAGGGCGATATTATACGGACCGTAAGGGACTTCTTCACCGAGGGCACCTTTGATACCCGCCTCAACCAAACTAACATATGTCTTATCCCAAAGAATGATAGACCCCGAGAAATGAAAGAATTTCGCCCAATCAGCCTCTGCAACGTATGCTATAAAATCATCTCAAAGGTACTATGCAAGAGACTAAAGAAGTTCCTACCTTCCCTAATATCAGAGACTCAATCGGCATTTGTTGCCAAGAGACTTATATCAGTCAATATCTTGATCGCTCAGGAGGCATTTCATGCTCTTCGGGGCAATCCCATATGCAACTCGAAGTTTGTCGCCATAAAGACGGACATGAGTAAGGCATACAATCGAATTGAATGTCGAATTGAATGGGGCTTCCTCCAGGCTCTCATGATCAAGCTCGGTTTCGATACCAAATGGGTTAACTGGATTATGAAATGCATCTCCTCGGTCTCATATCAAGTCTTGATTAACAAGGAAAGATCCTCCCGACTCGAGGTCTTCGGCAAGGGGATCCACTCTCCCCTTTTCTGTTTATTATTTGTACTGAAGCGCTCATAAGCCAACTTTGAGGTGCGGAAGATGAAGGGCGTATTACAGGGCTAAAAGTAGCCCAAGCAAGCCCGCCAATATCTCACCTTCTGTTCGCTGACGACAGCCTCTTCTTCTGTAGAGCAGATGTTGGACAATGCACTGAGCTCCTAAAGATTATTAATACGTATGGCCAAGCTTCGGGCCAACAATTGAATCATGCCAAATCCTCGATTTTCTTTGGGAGTAAGGTCAAACAAGAAGGAAAACAAGCTTTAAAGAAGGCGCTAAGAATTCATACAGAAGGTGGTATGGGGATGTATTTGGGCCTACTAGAGAAGATATGTGGCTCGAAGAAGCAAGTTTTTTCCTATGTTCAGGAATGCTTAAACAATCGAGTCAACTCTTGGTCTTCGAAGCTACTGTCAAAAGGGGGTAAGGAGGTGTTGCTTAAATTGGTGGCGCAAGCCATCCCGACATTCGTAATGTCAACTTATCTTCTTCCACAGGATGTCATTACCAAACTGGGAGCAGCTATCTCTCGGTTCTGGTGGAGCACCAAGTCTAATAACTGCAGCCTACATTGGCTTGAGTGGGACAAAATGTGCATCCCTCAAAGCAAAGGAAGACTGGGATTTAAAAATCTAAAACTCTTTAACCTTGCTCTACTTGCCAAGCAACTGTGGAGGTTAATCCGGTATCCCTCATCTTTACTTGCACGGGTTCCGAAAGGGAGATATTACCGCTATTCAAACTCCTTGGAGGTTGAAAAAGCAAACGCCCCATCTTACGGCTGGAGGAGCATTATGGCAGCCAAACATCTCCTTAAACCGGCGCTCCAGAAAGCAATCAAATTAGGCTTCAATACCAGAGTGTGGCAAGATCCGTGGATCCCTACGATCCCACCACGACCGGCTGTCAGCATAAGTAACGTGCATGACCTAAACCTTTATGTAAATCATCTTATTGATTTCGAGTCAAAATCCTGGAAAGAGGGAATGGTTCGCTCTCTGTTGGCTTCCGATGATGCTGAGATGATACTAAAGATAAAACTACTGCGCAAGTTTGAACTGGATGACTACTGCTGGAGCTATACGACATCATGGAATTACTCGGTAAGATCGGGATACGACTTAGCCTGCGAGCTGTCCGCTACGAACAAATACCCAGAGCTACTCGAACCAAGCACAACATAGCTTAAAAGCAGAGCCTGGCAGCTACAAACAACATGCAAAATCAAGCACATACTCTGGCAAATCATCTCTGGTACCCTAGCATCACGTAGCAGATTAGCGGATCGCCACTGTGGCACAGATCGAACTTGCCCCAGATGCGGCTATGAGGATGAAACCATCAATCATATCTTCTTCGAATGCCCCGATGCTGTACAAACGTGGGCTCTGTCCCAGATTCCTGCTATTCCAGAGATCTTTCCGTGTGAGGCTCTGTTTCCCAGTATGGATTTTCTGTTATTCAGAACACATTCTTATGGAATAAGAGAGGAACAGTTGCAGATTTTCCCGTGGGTTGTCTGGTTTATTTGGAAAGCGCGAAATATTAGAGTGTTTAACGACAGACATGAGCTTCCCATGGATACAGCAGAACGTGCGAAGATGGAAGCTGGGAACTGGAAAATGACGAATACGAAGGACAAGACCACTGCTTCGAGTTTAACCCCATCTTCGACGAACCTGGACAATTCCGCATGTGAGAAATTTGTATGTCAGGTCGATGCTTCATGGTGCAATGAGGATAAACTGTTTGGCGGAGGGCTGGTGCTAATGAAAAATGGCGCGCGGAAGCTACTGGGATCCTTTGCGTGTAATGGTGTCTCATCACCCCTGCACGCCGAGATGGAAGCCGTGATATGGGCCATGAAGACAATGAGAGAGCGTGAAATTCAATCCTTACATATTCAAACAGATTGCCTTCAACTGGTAAAGATTATCGAGAGAGAAGAGGAATGGCCAAATCTCTCTGCAGCTTTGGAAGAGTTTGGTTTTTGTCAGAATTTCTTTTGCTCGTTTTTAATTTCATATATTCCCCGAGGGGATAACCGCCGAGCGGATGCTCTTGCTAAAGGGGCTCGTACTCGTGATATTATTTTTAACCATGTAAACTCTGCAATTCTGGTGTGGCTAACCTCTGAGGCAAGCTTATTTGTACCGAACTAATCTAATGAAAGATCCCTTTTAATGTCAAAAAAAAAAAGCCAAAGTTTAATACTTGTATAATTACTTGTCATCTATATGATCATCAAATCCTTGATGAAAAGTTGAGATTCAATCTTAAAAAAAATCCTAATGTGAATTTAGGTTCTCAATATACCTATAAATATATGACTTTACTCATCATAATATTATAACCAAAACAATACATTATTAAAAAAAAAATCTCGTAGGCAAAGAAACCTAAACTCCTACTTAAAGTTCCACCTCTAGTCTTTTATTTCCATAATCTTGTGTCTTCTATTTCCACAATCATCCAAGAAGACTTTTTATGGCAATAGAAGTAGGTATTCTGATATCCTATTAATGGTTATATTATATGATTAGTTTTGATATCTCATAACTGTTCAAAAACTCTAGTTTATCATATCTTAAAATTTGGGGATGTGCAGTTGAAGTAAGAATATACAATCCACATAAAAATAAATTAGATTTCAGAATTATAAATAGTTTATGTATTAGATACACTGAAAAATCTTAAGAATATAAATTTTATTGTTCATCCCATAGTAAGAGAATAGTAGAAACCATATATTAATGCCAGATTTTATGAGAGTGACGTGAATAGTGGGAGTGATAAATTTAAGGATGTAGTCATTCAAGAAATTAGGGTTAATGTTCCTTTAATCTCGTTTTTGAATGTGGTGAATCCTCATGTTGTTGAATCGTTAAACATTAAGGATAATCCAGTGAATGATCATCCACTCCA